CGGAGCTACCGTCTCCAAGAAGCGAAAGAACGTCAAAGAAAGGGGAGTGCCCTCGTCCAAGCGCCGTGCAGTCGCTGAGACTCAAAGCGATGGAGAGATGGCCAAGATCCAAGAGCTGGAAGACCAGATTTCTGAGTCGCGAAAGTACTACAACAACATTGTGACGCTGATCTCGATGCTCAATGCGGATGGAAATGATGGAGAGCCTAATTTGACCGTTGCAGTATCACTCTGTCGAGTCTTCAGCAGATTGATGGCCCTGGGAAATCTTACGGAGACCAGTCGCGCAGCAGAGAACGAGAAGATCATCGTTGCTTGGTTGAAGGAACGTTGTCGGGAATACCAGAAGGCATTGGTCTCAATCCTTCGTGAAGCAGATCCTTCCTCTCAGGTTTGTCATCCAGACTTCCCAAACACTCCGCTGGCGTTCTCTGATATCTTGGCAGGTTACGGCCTTGACTCTATGCATGCGCATTATCAACGAACGTGCGACCCATCTACCGGGCGATGATACTCAGGTCTGGCTTTCTGGTCTCTTCAAGAACGTATTCGAGGCTGTTGTCGAAGCAAAGAACGGGCAGGCGTTGAGGTCGGAGTTTTTGGATCAATTCGCAAAGGCATACGAGGATGTGAGATACTACACCTTCGTGCAGGTCTCGTACGTTTCTCATCCCTCTTCTCCGAAAAACCCGGTCGTATGCTAACTTTGGGTACTAGTGACTACGCACAGACAAAAAGAAGCTCCGAAGTCCTCGACATCCTGATCTCACTGCTATCGGAATGCGACAATGTCCCTGGTCCTCAACACAAGTTTGAAAACTTCTACACCAAAACCAGCAACCAAAACAAAAAGCTCCTCTCAGTGAACTCGCACAAGAAACGAGCACAGGATGCCTGGCTGGTTATACTCCAGAACAACCTCTCGCACACCCAACGCAAGACCCTGCTGCGCAACATGGTCTACACGGTAGAGCCGTGGTTCAACCGCCCCGAACTGCTCATGGACTTCCTGACGGATTCGTACAACGTCGGCGGCGCGACATCCCTCCTCGCCCTCTCAGGTCTATTCTATCTGATCCAGGAGAAGAACCTGGACTATCCCCAATTCTACCACAAACTATATTCCCTCCTGGACGCCGATCTCCTGCACTCGAAGCACCGCTCTCGGTTCTTCCGGCTGATGAACACCTTCCTCTCCTCCACCCACCTTCCCGCTGCGCTTATCGCCAGCTTTATCAAGCGTCTTTCTCGTCTCGCGCTTAATGCGCCCCCCACCGCTATCGTTGTAATCGTCCCTTTCATCTACAATCTACTCAAGAATCACCCGACGTGCACCTTCATGCTCCACCGCGTCGTCCGCGACGAGCAAACAAAGGCCACGCTCGAAGCCGAGGGCATGGATGACCCATTCGATGTGAACGAGACAGACCCAACCCGCACGAAGGCCATTGAAAGCAGTCTATGGGAGATCGAGACGCTCCAGTCTCATTACCACCCCAATGTCGCTGCGATCGCCCGGATTATCTCTGAGCAATTCACAAAACAGGCATACAATCTTGAAGATTTCCTGGACTATACCTACCAAGGCATGCTACAGGCAGAGCTCGGTACGGAAGACAGGCCGTTCAAGAGGATCCCAGTCGTTGAATACCATATCCCGAAGCGAATATTCACCGACAGATTACTCGAGGAAGACGGAGGCCAGGACACAGCGCCTGGTAACTTCATTAGAGGCTTATGGAGTTTTGCATGACGGGTCAAAAATCGCGGAACCTGCATAGCTATGCAGGTAATTTGCTTCCTCTAGCGTATATCGTTTGGTGTTATCAAATCCGTTTGATTGTCTATAGACTTCTATGCTAAAAAGCTTTTTCGAAAAGCAGTCCGTACTATCTAATGATTGTCATTATTCCTTGCCTTGACTTGGCAGGAGGTCGTACGAAATCCACGAGTTATACTTCAACTATACCAAATCATCAGCCAAAAGCGTGATCTCCTTCGGACAAGACCCTGCCAATCTCACCAACCATCCGTTGAAAGCCCTTCTGTCGCTGTCCACCCTGAAAAGTTGTCGTCCTGATTCATTAATCTCTCAACATAATGGTAGTACGAATTACCGGAGTGCGTCTCCAAAGGCATGAAGGCGCCGAGTGCTGCAGACTGTTGTGACTCTTGCAAGCGACGGTAGTCATATGGTCCAATCGTCCCAAACGATGGATGGGGAGGGTATTCGAGGTCGGTTCCGCACAGCATTTCATTTGCCTCAGCAACAGGGTCTCCGGGATGATAGTCACAAAAGACGTCCAGGGCAAACACCCCACGCTTGAGATCGTCGAAAAGCGTGTTTGTGACTTTGACGGGTATCGCTTCTATTTTGGCACGCATCTTCTCCGTGATGCTTTGGGCTTTTTGACGCCTCCGTCTTTGACGCACACTCACTTCCTCCTCCATTCGTTCGAGCAGATATAGAATCTCCTTCTCAGAGGAAGCCACGGCGACTGCGTGTTCCATTCTGGACGTAAGTTGTTGAAGCTCTTGAGAGACAGTGCGAAAGAGCGCATCGACCTTATTCAACGCTTTCGCGACGTGAGAACAAAGACTTCGAGCGAGCGGTCTCTGGTATACCCGCGCCCAAAATGACATCCAATAGGAAAATCCAGTCCGGGACTTGCGCAGGCGTGTCAATTCGAGAGTTATGATGACATTGCGACACAAAGCGAGCGTATGCAAAGCCCCATCGCGCGTCTCTTCCAATGTGACCAGACGCTCAGAGAGGGTCGATTGGGGCCTCTCAGGACCGACCTCCTGGGTTTCATCCTGTCTGTCCAAAGAGCCGTAGAATCGCTGTGACCCATCGATACTCTGTGATGCTGCAGCAAATGATACCGGCTGGCATTCTTGGCAAGTCTGCTCATGTTGATCGCTATGCCCGAGGCCGACGATTAGATCACTTTGCAGATCAGTTTGCGACATTCCAGTGCTGGAAGCTGTGTCATTCCCCAGAAGGATTGGAGGCTAAAAGGAGATGGAATATAATGCGATGCTAAAGATGATGAAACGAGGGGCAAAACGAAGGACCGTTCAACGAGTGTCTCTCTAAACGAATGACTGTGACCAACTATGTCAGGGAAAAGATGGAAAGTACGATATTGGAAAAAAATGTCTGAACGAGCGTATATGGGGCGAATGAGCGTTGTTGAGGAAGCAAAGTTCCATCAGGAGGAACAAACATCCACCTGTGACATCCTGGCAACCTGGGATGGAATATGGAACTCAAGTGTGGAAGGAACATCGAAGGGTTTCCGCTGATGCAGGTGGCGCTCAAGCAATTGCAACTGGGATGGAGGACAGATCGATGCATCCGGGCCTTCTTGCATGACAGTAAGCGATCAAGCTTGCATCTTTACTTACCCAGTCAGGCGGGTCCCTCCCATCGGGTGGTATTAATCGCCTTACTATATGGGTTTGTCTTTTCCGACATTGATATTGTTTCCGCTTTCGGTAACCATCGAGCATGTCACCGTTACCATTGTCATAGTACGTAAGTGCCTCCACAGGGCATTGTAAGAATCGATCATAGTTTAAGAAACAAGACGAGGGATTTTGAGATCAGGAATGAGCTCCGTCGAGAAGAGTACATCACTAGTAATTGACTTTGCCTTGGCACCTCCGCTTAGGTGGTAGAGGGAGAACAGGGGGTGGGGAGAAGTACAAACTATATCATATCGTCTTTTGCAGCTTGCAAGGTTGATCACGATCGGATTGGGTAGATCAAGCAGTGACTTGTAGATACCTTAGATTCAAGCTTCAGGAATGGCATAGCTATTAGATACATGCAATTAGGTTGATTTCCCCTGAGCTCTGGCTTCTCAGCCTCCAATGCAGGGTCACCGACCCCCTTGCAGGGAAACAACCAACTCGAGAATGCCAATCAACAAGAGGATCTAACAGCACTATAATTCTGATATTTATTCAAGGGGTTGTTTATTCATCATTAGAGTGAGTGCACATGAGCCGAGAGCTGGTAGTTGGGCTAGTTGGGTTCTTTTTTCAAGTTGCATATCGAGGGGAGTGGTCTATAGCGAGGCTACTCGCTAAGTAGCTTGAGCCTGTGAAAGACAATTAAGCTAGACATATCGGTCGACATAGATCCTCTCTCGTTGCTAATGAACATGCTGMAGGCAAGTTCCTCTTTGCGAGCTGAATGGGTCATGGCTTCATAAGATACCCAGGTCCCGAAAGGTGGACGAGATTGAGATAGTCGTTTGGAACGCCTGGCCAAACACCGATCTTCTCAGCCACATAAGGAGGCTAACTTAAGGTACCTTACAGTCAGTCAGACCCTTTGAGCCCTGCAAAAGGCCTCAGCATGCTCATTGAACATTGTCACAAGTAAATGCACATTCAAATCTCATTCCGCAAGTTTAGTTGAGTTTGTGTTGACGAAGCACATTCCTCAGAATGACCTATGTTATACATGGGATTTGTTGATTGGAATGCGTTCAGAATGTACGACGCGTGTGACAAATACCTCTTGTTGTTTTTCCATAAATGAAGTGATTCAGCAGCTCACAATGATCTCGTGGTCATCATTTCGAAGTTCGATCCTTCAGTCGTTCTTTCCACGGGATTCATAGTCCCCACCTCCTCACTACTTCGTTCATCAGTGAGATATCATCGCCGGTATAAGGAAGGAGTCTTTGGACTCGAAGTCTGTGTACTCGAGGACTTGAAAAAGGCTCCAGTAATCGTGCCTCCCGCTGGTCTTCCAGGTGGCACCATTATACCATCTACAATCCGCCAGGCAGCTGTTCTCGAATACCAGTCCCATCTCCGAAGCTCAGAATTCCAGATTCATCCGCATCTTTATGTGCATTAGATTCCATTCAACTATTTAGCTGTGCTCTTGCTCTTGCTCTTGCTTTTGCTTCGAATGTTGGTAACCCCACCCGAACAGGATTAATCACTGGCGTCTAATTCTGATAGTGTTACAAATCACGATGTTTTGGTCGAGGACCTTTCTGGCGACATGCGCCTGCCTGGCTCAGCTGGGCACCGCTCAGATGCTGGCCTTTACAACATKGCCAACCCACATCTACCAGGGCAAACCAGCTACGGTGACTTGGTTGGGAGCTCCTGATGTTGTACGTGAACGCGAGTGCCTTTGTTTTCCGTCAGATGATCACCCCTTACTCACCATAGCTGTGCCTAGCCTGCCACCATTTCTCTGCGCAAAGGTGATGCAAACAACCTCGACCACGTCCAAGTCTTGACTACCGATGCAAAAGGCGGATCCTTCACTTTTGTTCCCGACGATTCCTTGCCCGATGGTTCAGACTATGCATTGCAAATCCAGCAAGGCGCCGAGGAGAATTATTCTGGACTGATGACACTTGGGAACCCTGGAACCAAGCCACCAAGTCCTCCGAAGCCCCCAGGTCCTCTGAATTCCCCAAGTGCTACGAATGCCCCAAGTGCTCCGAATCCCCCGAGTGCGCCGAATCCCCCAAGTGCTCCGAGCCCCCCAACTGCTCCGAAGCCCCCAAAGCCCACAGAAGATGTTAAGCCGCAGAATATCTCCACACCAACCCCTCAGGATGACGCCTCACCGCATCACGGCACCGACACCTCACCGGGCGACGACTGGGAAACAGATGTCGCCAAGGGTAACAATGCCCAGTTCACCGATGTTGAAGATATGTCGAAGGGATCTAACTCAAACTTCACTCACGGCAAAAACGCAGTGGCGGCTAAGTTAGAAACCAGCGGGGCTTCTATTGAAAACGTGTACCTTGGCTGGGTCCTGGCCACAGCAGGCGTCTTGTTCTATGTCGTCGAATAGAGTGGGATTGGGTGACCAATTTCGGAGCCAGGCATCCAGTCATCATTTGCCAATGCTTGAACACATTGGCTTCGGCATGCTTCCGCTTTATTTCGCTGCACATAGTACCCATTGTATTCAAAAAGTCCTGAGATGTCGGGGTGTGCCCTCAAGAAATCGGGCCATGATCGTTGTTGAACTCTGTTGTACCCCTCAGGGCAGCTCAAGCACCGACCAATTGTTGGATCGACCCTGCGAGCCTCATCTACAGTATACTCATTACTGCTTTGACTGAAGAAATGCAATTGACGATATTGATAATCTGATTATAAGAACAAAGCACTTTCATGTTTCACAATCGATGTGGGCTGTGGGCTGTTGGACAGAAAGCTGTTAGTGTCCGCTCTTAGCGGCTGACTCCATGGATGTGCTTTTCCTGACTAGCTCCCACTGCTCATTCGTACCTGACCAGATTATTATAAACCTCATCACTCATCAATTCTTGATGATAATGATCGCTACTGCTGTTTCTTGACAGTAGTGCCGTCATCTATATATCTCCTTGGGACTTATATCTTAACCTGTATATCCTTCATTTACTCTCATTAAACTGTATTCAATTTCGCTCTTTGATTACTCTCTGCTGTGTGCAATTTGTGACAGTAAGTTAACCGCCTTCACTAGTTTTGAACTATTCTGGCCCAATCTCTATCTATTTGCACTGCAGCTTTGTTAGTTATGTGTCTCGGCGATGACAAAGCATAGAACTCATCATGTCAACAGTTCAGCTGGAGCTCTTTTGCATCCCATCCTTGATCTCCACAAGGGTATGTCTGTTCGTCGTCTTTCGTCGTTATTCCCGTCGTCTCCATCCTCAATTCCCATGCATTTTGGAACTTCGAGATCCCCGACTTGCACCTCCTTCGCTTCGCACCTTCCTTGGGCATTGGGGATAGCCTTGGTCTTGCAGGCGATTGCCATCAACATCGCCCGTACTGCTGAAGGTCCGATCGTTACTGCTTCGGGCTTGCCGTTCCTTAATTACACTTAGCCTGCATTCCAATCCCCTCCCGGCCCTATAATGGCCAGGCTGGTGCGATCCAAGAAGAACGCTGCAAGGGCAGAAAGTGACAATGCTGACCCGGAGACGCTTGCGTCACCTCCGTTAGATTCTCCGAGACCCCCTCGTGTCAGCCTACCTCATGTGGGAACCCAGTTGAATATGCATCAATACAATGGTTTATTCGATGTCAGCTCACCTGAATGCCAAAAGGCAACTATAGCCGTAGAAACTACTCCGGGTAGGTTGTTCCATCTCGTGCCAACGTGGTGATACTTGAAACTAGTTTCTCGCTTCGAACTTTTAGTGCTGATTTGTCTTTGCGCATGTTGTTAGATTCCACATCCGCGTCCCCACGTACTGCTTCGAATCCTCCGAACGGCGATGCTCCTACCGCCGAATGGTCCTCAGCCGTTGGCCATGCGGCCACAGGCAAATCTGGCCGTGTCATCCATAATCTTCAAGAAGAAATCGCACGCTTGACTCGCGAATGCAGTGTGTATCGCTCACGAGCGGAAGAAACTCAGCGGATGAACGATGCTTTTAAGATGCAGGTACAGAACATGACCGAGCGTCTTCGGAATCTTGAGCAGGCCAACGAAACGAATCTACATTCTATCCGGCGCAAGGACAAGAAAATTGAGGAGTTACGGGCCGAGATACAGAGCGAGAAGGAAAGACGACGTCGAGCAGAGGGAGAGACCGATAAGTTCCAGCAACTGATGAACGAGGCTCGTGATGATTTCAATCGAAAATGCGCGGAGCTACAGGAGATTGCCAGTCACTCTCGGACACAGTACGATGTGCTTGCGAAAGCCGGACAACGTGAACGCGCAGATCAGCAGAGGAAACTCAAAGCGATACGGGATGATTTCCTCACTTTGAAAGCAGAACATGAAAAAAGAGACGTACAGTTAGAACGCCTGGACGCGGTCATGGCGCAGAAAAATCGTGAAATCGAGATAGGTAGAGAGAGATTCGATCAGCTATTCGAGGACTACGAAGCATACAAAAAAGCTCACGACGAGGAGGTGCGGGCCTTGATCGAAAGGAACTATCAAGGCGCAGCCAACATCGATAGTGCTCTCGCCTCTCTCAAGGCGACCGAAGAGAAAATGAAGTGGGCTATCCAAGTCAAGAACGACATTAAAGATGCCCGGTGAACGAGCGACCCATTTTACGTATAATCAATCCCGCATAAGAGCCACCAAGCAAGCAACAGGTTCGCCTTCGAGGGATGCAACTTGTCGACAGAAGTCTTCTTCGATTCTGGACTCAGCGAACTAAGGTCGATCCTCTAACTTGTTCCATGCTGTTCCATTCTCCTACCTATATCCCCGTCTACGATTCACGTCCATAGCAGGCTCATTCGGCCGAATGTCGCTCGTCGATGTCACGACGGTATGTTCGAATTGTTCTTTATACTGCTCGCAGTGAGCCTTTGGCTCATGCATCTGACTTGGTGTCCCAGTTGCTTAATACTTCCCGGAGTTTGGGAGTGCTTGATACCCTAGGACACATGCGTTTTTCCTCTGCTTGATGGTCTTTGATAGAGTTCCATTTTGTTCGCAAATAGACCATAATAAACACGGATACCAGATAAATGCATAGAATAGTATGCCAATTGTCCTTTGAAGAATGAGTTTCAGGGGAGACTTCTACTCTTTTTCTGGATCGGCGCCAAGGAGGTACCTACCTATAATTCACTGTATTCCCAGGGAATCAATCACAAATCCTACCATACAATAGCAAGCCTTTCACTTCCTCCTTATCCTTTATGTGCCAATGAGAGAGTGAATAAGTTCCCTTTGGGAGACTGTCCATGCCTTGACTCTTTTCTGCGTCTATCCGCCTACTGATAAACAATACATTCACTTAGTGGCTGCATCTACCCTCTTGATTTACCGATTGGTTTGTATTAAACAAATCAGGCACTCTACGGAATACCCATTGTCATTCACCTCTTTTTCTTTTTTGTTCGCTTGTGATTCTGGTGGCTAAGGAGAGATTGTTCCTCGTTTGGTTTTCATACAGTGTTGCGTTCGTCTTCCTTCTTCTTTGGGGAAATCAGGTGCACTACCTTATCTTCCTACGAGCTTCGCAATATCTCTCGATTGAGCATCACTCTTCATACCTCAATTATTTCTTTTTGCCATCGGCTTAATCTTGCTTTCCTCGACCACGTTTCTTCCGTTTCTGAACCAACCTCAGCTAGTGCGGGCACGGCTGTTTCTGACGTATTGACAATGGCGACGAAGCAAAGACTGACGCTCGCCTCCATGTGGGCATTCGAAGCTATCGGGGTGAGCTGATGAGTGTAATGACAGGATGCCAACGAATTCTCTGCTGACCAAAGTATGAACAGGTTAAGGAGATAGGGGTAGAGGTCAAGTGTGTATCGACATAGCACGCATGCTTGTCATTTGTCATTCAACTGATGCAATAAAACCAGGAACACAATCCCTCAGGTTGAGTCGCTCGAATATTTCCAGACAGACGATGTTGGTTCCCATGTCCTTTCACACCACCGTACCTAACCGGGATTTCCAATAGGTAATTGTGACCAAAGGCAATGTTGAGAGCTTTATCTCAAAGGTTGCATCTGCATTTGCCGGCTTCATCGAAGAGCAGAAAGACAAAGATCTCCTAGACGTAGGCCAATTCTTATTTCTTTGCTAATCAGATTGTGGAAAGTTCAAGTAGGTGTTATACTGATTATCGTTTTATTCAGATGCCGCGAGTGCGTCAACTGGATGTCCCAGCAGTGCTTTCTGACGAGGGGCTCGCGGCCATGGACTCACCTGAGAAGCATCAAGAGCCGAGTCTGTTAGCCCTGGACGATGATTCCGACGAAGATATCGTTCCTTACTCGAGAAATCATGCCATCAAGTTCTGGAAATCTTCTAACGGAGGTTTGGGTTGCTTTTCCAACAACTTCCATGATGTCCTAGCAGGTGTTGCCACTGCCACGGGCACTGAAATCGCAATGGTGGATGAATTACAAGGCATACGGGTTTCCGGGACCACCGAGGATGCCGACGATGCTCTGACGAAGCTGACTCAAATTGAGAAGCCCTTGGTCAGTAGGCGTGCTGCTCAAAACTCGTTCTTATGTTGACAACTGACGAGGTTTTACTAGTCCTTCTCTCTCGCTCCCAACGTCACAAACATCATGATTGTCCCACACAAGGACGAAAGTCGCTTCCGCATCCAGAACTACAGCAGTGTGAATCCTGATGCTCCCCGTCGTGTTCTTGAGGATCCAAAAATGTGTTCAACCATTGACTTTGGTCGAATGTGCGTCACCGTGGGTCTGTCCTTCAACAATGACACTCAAGTGTGGACTATACCCAATAATCGACTCAATCCGCCACACATCAGCGAGGAAGTTGGGCCATCTCGTATCTGGAATGATTTTACCTTCCAGGAGATTGGGAAGGCGGACGAGTTTGTTGACATTGAATCAATAATCGAGAATGATCCCTCAAACCCTCAGACCTTGATCTCTGGCATTGCACCTCCTCATCCTTTCCTCACTGCAGACAAGGCCAAGCAAGTCAACCAGTGGGTTGTTGAAAGGGCTGAGATGCAGCCAACCGAGCATGGACCCGAGCCCGAGCCCGAGTTTGAGCTTGAGCCTGATTTCGAGCCCCTGCCCGAATGTGAGCGCCGCGACGTTCCCCAGCCTATACGCAAGCGCGAGACAGCAATTGCCCTTCAAAGCAAAAGACCACCTGGAATGAAGACACGAAAGGCCTTAACAACGGCCAAAGTTGCAGCGCCATCCGAGCAACCTCAAGCAAATGAAGCCAAGCCTGTGGCCATCGATCTCACGGAAACTACTTCCACGCCCCGTAAGCGTTGGACTATGCTGTACAGTTCCGGCGCGGAGGATGCAACTGCAGATGACAGTGACGCACTTAACTTTGAAAGTACGAGTTTAAACGATATCCTCGAGCTT